TGTGTGTGTGTGTCTTTTTCCTATTTTCTCTTTAATTTGTCTCAAATTAATAATCACTTTATGTCACTAAGGATGGCTGCTCAGTCTTATTAGCCCATTAAGGTTATTTCGGGCAGCCATGTACTCTTTTTATTTTAACTTATTTTTGTTCACATAATTTCTAATTTCTAAGTTGAGTACAAAAAAAGTTGTTGTTGTAGTTCTTGTTGTTGTTCTCATGTTAATTGAGGCAATTGTTATTTGAACCCCACTGTGATTTACGAATTTAAATAATAAAGAAGAAACAAAATGAACCCTGGTAGTTGTAATCAGATGACATCATGCAAATGTGCTATTAAGTACACATTTTATGTGCTCAGAAAAGTGGGAAAAAGGGGAAATTTAAAATCAATAAGCTGTGAACATAGTGCGGATTCATTAAAATTCCACCAACCAGGAACTTATGTCATTACAACTGGATGTAGCTCTCAGAGAGGATTGAAAAATGAGCAACAAGATCTGTGAGCTGTGTTTCTGGAAACTTACAACTTTAATCATCTGAAAGTACTTGGCATATCTTGGATCTTTGGAAACAGTCATAGCTAGAAATGAAAGTACAGCAGAGATTTTAAAAAATATCCTGTAAAGGTAATAACACTCTGTGGTAAGAAAATAACAGTCAATAAACTTGCCAGTGTACATTTGTGACCTTAAACAACTTCCTCACCCACTACTCTCCCACTTACTTGGCAAGTTGCAGAAAGTGCAGCATTGTTACAGTTAAAGCTTTTACTACTGTACTCAAGTGCGTACAAATGTAGAATAACGAATTGAAGTTCTGGTAAAGGGATAAATGTAGGACCCTTTGAAAACAGCCTGTAGTTTCAACTTGTTGATTCACAATGTTAAACTGTGGGTGTCAAAGAACTGCAACAGTAATAAATGTCAAAAATTTCAGTTTATGCTTACTTGGTTTCTCAGGCTCTGGAGGTGATACGGAAAGAAGAATAAAATAAAAATGTAATGAATAAGTGCTGCCAATGTACAGTATTCAGATATGATATTCCCCACATACACTGTACTGCTTATAAGTAACCAAGTACATAAAGAATGGTGTTATTATGACACTGACAATAATAAGCCCTGACTTTAGCAAAATATTTTAAATTATTCATTGAGAACCTCACAACAACAATATCTTGGTGTAGAATGTTTTACAACAGCAACAATTAGGGTCTATAGGGTCAAATGTCTTATTCTAAAAAACCTGGCTGGGAAATATTACACAACAGCCTTTCAGAGGGGTTTTCAGTAACTTATGCTTACCTGGCTCTTCTGCAGGAGGTGCAGGAGGTCCCTATGTAAAAAATATCGAAAGATTTTTTTGCTTTCAAATTGTTTCAAGTTCTGTGCTTAATATTATTTATTATTCCATGACCTTTGGTACATGTAGCAATGGCAAGTGCACAAACAAGGCTCTGATAGTTAAAAGAATGAATAACAACATATCCATCGAATAAACTTTTTCCAGTAGATGGTATGGTTGGTTTTGTAATTTATCCCACAGACAGCATTATGCATTCTTTCAACAACTGCAACAGCTTTTAGGTGTAGCTTCTTTATAAACTTGCGTGTGGTCAGTACCTATCAATGGTACTCTAGCATCCTCTTCATATTACTATCATGTTTTTAGAGCTAGTGACAAGTGTTTTTAGTATTGAAATGAGTTCCAATTACATTGTACCTGTGCCTCCACAGCTGGTTGTGGTGCATCAGAAGCTGGAGGTGGAGCTGATCCTGCAGCTGGTGCAGCAGCTGCCCCACTTGGTGCAGGCATTGATACTGTCACATCTTCCAGCCCTGGGATTGATGCCAACTGTGTGAAAAATGAACATGTTGTAATAATTATTGTTATTATCTTAAAAGAAAAGAAAAGAAAAGAAAAGAAAAGAAAAGAAAAGAAAAGAAAAGAAAAGAAAAGAAAAGAAAAGAAAAGAAAAGAGAAGAGAAGAAAAGAAAAGAAAAGAAAAGAAAAGAAAAGAAAATATCTGCAAGGGACTGACTGTCTTCAGGTTTCTGTTACCAAAAATCAACTGTTCTAAATTCCATTTTGAACAAGGATATAATGTGTATTTTAGAATTAAATTGGCCAATATCCAGAAAAAAATGATTTAAATCAATAATTGTAACAAAACTATATAAAAAATTGTTCCGTATTAATTTGGTTCTGTACACTTAAACAACAACAACTACTAAGATTATTATACTTATTGTGGATTCTACCTTAGCTTCTAGAATGCTCATCATTATTTCAATTCTTTGGATTTTGTTGGACAAGTCAGCTAATTTCTGCAATGGAAAAAAATATTTCATTGGGACACACACAAAAATGACGTTCAAGAAAAGTAACAGGTGTTACTCCTTTGATAGTAACACTTCTTTTTCAAAATGTACATGTATCATCATTTACAAATAATTATTTACAACACAATATACAGCAGAGTGAGTACCAGAGTAAAATAATTTAAATTTTTCATCCATTTAATATATATACAAAAAATTAATTACGGTGATTGATGCTTGGTCATTAATACGTTTGATAAAAGAGCACATTAATCTGCAAATGTTGCTGGAAAAAGTGCTTTCACTTGTAATAATTATACTGTAATTTATTGCAAAGTACATGTTAATGACATTTAAGCATTTTAAGGTAACAGCGACTATGACTAACATGACAGCTTTCTTCCCATGACTGCAAGGGGCTCATGGTGCGCAGTCAATGTTTGCCGTATGCAACCGTTACCACTGTAGTAGAAAGTTGAAAGCAGATCATTGCCAGGCTAGGTATACAATAAATACTAATGGCTATAAGCCTTCTGATAGATTTCCCGAAGTACTGGTATTTTCAAATCTATCAATAGTATTCTAAAATGCATGGAAATTTTTGGGATGACAATCAGGCATCTTTGGAAGTCACTGGGCTCCTTCAAGGCAATCTTTGGAAATCTACTGGAATCTTCAAATAGTTTCCAGCAAAACACTGGGAGCCTACAAAGCATCTCCAGCAAACATGTACCTCACTCAAATGAAAGTTTTAAGTGGTTTGGAGGTCTTTGTGCTACTTTGGATTAACTCTGAAATGTCTTGTAACTAGTACTTGTAACCCTTTGTGTACTTATGTTGCACTGTTACATGACAGCCATGCTCTTTGCTTCACTAAAGAGAACTGGGTATATTTTTCCTAGAATACAACTACAATGTAAGTAACCTGCACTGCGGCATAAACAGAGAGATAGTAGAGGAAACAAAAGATGTGAAGAAGGGGAAAATACACATCTATGTAAAATAGCCTAATTTTGACAAAAAAGCTAATTTAGACCAATTAGACGATTGCCGTTTCCCGTGGGCAGAACTACAAGAACAGCTTTTCCAGGTTAAGTACAGCTCATGNTGGTGCCTCACACACTGGATTGAAGTTTATTCAATGATCTGAAAAAAGTCTCTCAAAAAAAAATCTTAGAATATACGGTGATATCTTTATTAAATGAACACCTTACCATGGAAGTGTATTTGATGGAAGAGGATACTGTACCAGTATATGTCATCAACACATTCAGTACTGCATTTGCAACTTAATTATACATGTAGCTTGCCTTTTTTGACTTAGTTATAACTTAAGATACTTCCTTACAAACAGTTCAATCTTATTTCACTTGTAAACTTCTACTTGCAAATCTGGCATTTTTTTAATGTTACCATGGCAACAAATTTTTGTTGCTACAAGTTAATCAATTATGTCTGCAATAGAATGCCACAGATGGGCATAAACACATTAAACTAAACTATACATTCCACCTTAAAAAATCTTTCAATGCCAAGCTCATGCCAAGTGTGAGCAGAACAAATTTGTGACAACATTAAAACCAAACAGACCTTAAGGTTACCGTATACATTTGCTCTGCTGCACTTTCTTTTGTCTGTTTTCTTCACCCAGCCACTCTAGCGTTCGTATACTCTTTTGTCTTCCCCATTTTGCCAGATCAGCTTCAAGAAAAACCGAGCTACAGAAAAATTATCTCTGTGCCTTGAGCGCATTGCAAAACACAAGGGTGTTTTGGAGATTCATGTGTAAATTTCACCATGAGAAAAAACTTCCCAAGCCCTGATTGGCTCAGTGATCTGAGAACCCAGTTAAAGGCTTTCATGGGCAGAGTTTGTTTGCGAAGCAAGAGATTTTTCTTAGCGCTGTTTACTCAAATAAATTTTTTCGCTTGAAGCAGACACTTAAAAGAGTTACAACTAAAATAGAATTTCTTTGATTGCCCTCAAATTTGGACAGTAGCTAGATTAACATACAATAAACAAAACGGTATCTGTGAATTGTTTATTTCGAAATATTTTTTCTCCGAGAGCAATTTTTGTATGATCACTTCACATTTTTTAAATCCTATTTTGAAAATGTTCTGACTGTAACTTTTTACTGCAATTGAATATGGCAAAACGCAGACATGCTCTTTTAGTGCTCTTTGTCCTTAAACTGGGGAAAAAAATAAATTGGCGAAAAACAAAATTTGCTTTGACTTCTAGCTTCCAAAAGGTATTGCATTTAGTGGTCCTGAAAAAATCGGCAATTCATTTCATTTCAAAATTCTTGGTATAGTTTGATAGCCAGCTCTATAAGCATTAATTTAATATAGGGGTTTAGGTATCTACCGCTTAAACCAGACGCGCTACATCGCTTGGACGCGAGACACCCCTGAAGGCATACGGTAACCTTAACAGCATGGGAAAAACATAGCAAGTCAATAGTAAAATGTGGAGGATGTAATATTACCAGTAGCAATAGTCAGTCAGAATTTAGTGGTCTTCAGATGTAATATTTGCTTACCTCTTCACAAACACATGAAAATCTATTCAAAAATCTGACGGAATGAGTGATAAAATGATTGAGGAATGCTAGGGTTCTCTTGTGGTTAATCGGCCCAACCTGAAAGCCAAACAAAAGAGGAATGTGTCCATAAAAACAAGCAAGACTCCAGAGGCCAGATTCACAAAGGTCTTTTAGATTAAGAAGGCTTGTAACAATAAATAAAAAATACATCAAGAGACAATGCTTAGGATACATCTGAGCTTAGGAGAGCTTCGTAACTTGAGCCCCAGCTTTTTAAACTTTTGAGAGTCTGAGACTCAAATGCGAAATTTTGATTTACCCCTAGCAGGAGGGTTTCCTGAGGGTCATTCTCCCTCCTTCCCTGATCTGCAGTCAAACTCTAACAGGGCTACACTTACTGGTCCAAGTTCTTATTGGTACATAGGTCTTCCCTGTCTCCCCCCATACGACAAGCTGTTTTAGGTGATTTGCTCCTGCTTAACATTCGAAACTCAAGCCTTAATGCTGCTTTTGTGTTGGCCCTCTTCTTTTACTTTTCCCATTTTTAAAACTTAAGCCCCGCCCAAACGATTGTAACGTTTCAACACAACATTGTTGGCCCAGTATTTCCAAGCCCTGACCAAATGATCACACCATTTTGATGCAACATATCTCAATATTGTTGAGCGCAACATGTTGCATGTGTTTGGCCACCCTGTTGCGACATGTTGGGTGTTACAAATCGAACTAATGCCCATGTCCTGGCGCAGCATTGTTGCACGAACCTGGCCAAACCAATACAACATCATGCAGCATCCACAAATGTTGCATGGAAAATCTGACCGTTTTCAAACTTGAGCCAACATGTCGCAACAGGGTGGCCAAATGCGCGCAACATGTTGCGCCCAACAATGTTACATTGAAATGTTGTGATCGTTTGGCCAGTGTTTTAAATGTACCTTGAATTTTGCCAACATTTTCTATTTTATAGTAACTAGCAATATGCCATTCCATCAGTTTTACAAACAGTGGAGATAGAGCAAGAGTGAGCTTTAATGACATGCAATTTCATGTTTTTTAGATATTTTGAACAAAATTCAAACTGGATACCCATGAGATTACAACCTAATTTAATTACACAAGAGGTAGACATGTAGAGAGCCAATCAGAAACGAGAAGTTTGTTATTGAAATGGTTCTTCCTGTTATCATATGCCACACATTACAAATTTAACTCCTTGACATAGCAACAAACACTCCCTAATTCTCTAATTCTTATTGATCACACTATATGTAGAATGGCAAGCTACATTGAAATATTGCTTTTCTCTTGCCAAGGTCCTAGTTTTGTGGATAGTCAATGTATATAAGCTTATTAGGCAAGTCTGGGGTAAGCTTACAGTATATCTTAAATTCATTGATCGAGGCAAGACTGTGATAAGTAAATCAGGTGTACACAGTACCTTAGTAAAATCCACATTAGGTCCCACAATCGGTAAACCATCGCTGTCCATTGTTTGTGCAGCCAGAGAATTAAATTGACTGTAAATTTGGTATATATTCCCACAAGAAGGAAAAGAAAGGGACTAAGATAAAGTTAATTTGTACAGCAGCAGCTCTTCATCTCCATTTATCTTGTCATGTAACTCGTCATGTAAGGTCAATAAAAGAGGCCACGTGACTTATTGAAGACGCGACGTGTTTTGTTGTTCTTTTCGTGGCATGGGGGGCGGCTAGCTCGAATTTTGTGCTATTTTGAAATCTTTTACCTCGCAATCAACATGTTGGAGCAGCGAAAATGTTACGCAGTGGCTCTGTTTGGAATTTATCTGGTAACTGTGCAGGTACTCAGCGTAGGGACAACAGAAGTAACCACTGATTCGTGTCAAATGGTTGAGCGGTTCAACGGCAAAATGGTCAACATGAAAAACGCGAGAGAAAAGGCTGAAAACAGTTCAGGAATCGTCTCTGTTCCCGAAGGGTTAATGGTGAACTCTTCCGCAGAGTGCGAGCAAGGCTGTTGCGATAATATCAACTGTACGGTGTACCTGTTTTATCCTCGCCCACCCACCAATGACCAGAACAAAAAATACAACTGTTTTATTCTGAACTGTCGGCCACAAAGTCTGTGTTCTGCGGGCATGGTTGATGTGAGTAGTAAGGCCGAAGGATCGGTGGTTGGGATTCGAGATCTGCTACAAGGTAAGGGTAAATATCTCGGTGAAATAGAGCGCGATTGAACATGTACTTGTAAATTAACAAATGTGTTTCTCGGTAGTTATGTACAGTAAGCTTAGTCTTTCTAGGTGTGAATAGTGACAAAAAGCTAATCACAAGCATTCATTTGTTAGGTAATTCTGCAGCTGCATGAATCCATAGGTTATTAGAGAATATGTCATACTATTTCAGCGTACATTATATATTTTAAGGAGGCAAAATTGTTTCAATTGGATATTATGATAAACTTTCCACCAAGTATAGACTTGAAGAGCTAGTAGATCAGCATATAATTTATCAACCAACCAGTGCTACAGAATTCCAAAAGCCTTAAAACTTTCAATGCTTTGGCCAGTGATCTGAGGTCGAACATTGGAAACCCAAATATTGAAAATAAGGGAGTTTAAGCAAACGCAACACGAGGAGGGCAATGTTGAGTGAAAAGTGAATATATACAGTGCAATATTTAACCCATGGATCATGCAGTAATCTAGATTTATTCAGTTGGCCTATTACTGTTAAGGCTATAATAAGACAGCGTCAAATTTGAGCAACTTATTCATAAAATTGGCCACTGTAGCCTACATTCTCCAGACTCGGCACAATTTGTCAGAATGGCAAAGAAATGGTCTAAGATTTTCTAGGCATGTGCATTAGTCTGCTAATTAAACCCTTAGTTTAGGGACGTTTCCATTACCATCGCTGTCGTGGTTTGTTCAAAGTCTCCCTATAATCAAATTTTGGACATAGAGGAGTGAAAAAAAAAAGACCCTGAATTAAAAACCAAAGTATTGGTATCTTCTATAGCCACAGTATAGTTGTTAATATATACTATATAACAGAGCCGTTAGTAGCTAAGTTGCTACTGGCTAATTTCACCAGCTGAAAGGGAGCTTATTGCTGGCTGAAATTTCATTCATCAACAATGTACGTCTACTACCCAGCTTTGGAAAAGCAATTTTTTTCTAAACCAATGCAATCATTTTTTTAATGGTAGTTATAGTTGCCGGGCAACTATTGTCATGCTTTGATAACATGTTAGGAATGGGATTTTTTTTTTTATGTGGGCTCTTGTTTGTGAGACTCGTAGTCTTCAAACAAATTTACTTAAACAAAGAACTTAATGTTCAAATTGTATTTTTACCAATCAGTGTGAAATATTGTTTCTGCTTCAAACAGGTTATATGCCTCAATCCAACCTACATTAGAGAAACCATCATCCTTTAAAAAAATAATCTCTCAATAATACCACTTCTTACTGTTTTCTGTCTAGTACATATCATGCAAAAAAATATCAGAAAACAAAGAATCTGGTTATAAATATTGTATCAACTTTGAAAGCAAGCATTGTGACAGTAAAAACGTGTTGACTTTTAATTTTTTTTTTCCAATTTTCACATGCAGGTAATACAGTTGCAGCCAAGGACGTTGTTAACCTGCAGGAAAGTGTCTCCTCTGCTGAATCAAAATCTGATGTAAAAAATACATCCACTGTCAAGCCAGATGCTGATGTTTCAAGCAAAAAGGTAAGATGTGAGCACTGAGGATATAGACTTGCTTTTAGACATGTTTATGTTCAATCGAGTTTTGTTCTTACTCTACAACATGGTGCATTTAGTTAGTTTAATCAGGGTGTTACCTGAATATTTTTAGTCCTTGGGTTTGGAAAAATAAAACACACTCACTCGCATGCATCTGATGAATAACATCCATAGAAAATATTTGCTTCTGGCACTTGAAACTTTTTGCAGTTGATAATAATATTACTGTTCCATTGTAAGGATGTTAAATTTCTCCCATTTTCACCTAGGAACCTTCGACTTCTGAAACCAAGAACAAAACCAATACTAGTGAGACATCAAGCAGTGTAACAGCTACAACTAATACTGAAGGTAAGAGTATTACAATACAGTTAAAGCTCTATGAAACTCTCCCTTAACTAAGGCAGACAAACATTCTGACACCAGGATAAACAGAATTCCAAAGAAAAAAATTGTTGGTCTAAAAATTACAGAGATCGTATAGCAAAACATGTGACACTTTTCATATCTGGTACACGGAGCTATTGTAACCCTAGATGCACATAGTTACTTTGTAAACCTCAATAACTAAGGCAAACAAATGTTCTTACAGCAGAATAAACAAAAAACATTTATGGGAATTACAAGACTTTTCATGCCTGGCTAGCTGGCCCCTAAGGTTTCAGAATTTGTCCCTAGCACAAATATTTTAGTCAGTAAATGGTTTGAACCCAGGAGTATCAGTAGTT